GAACCTGACGGCGCCGAGGCCGCAGGGGGATGAGGTGACCGCGGGGGGCTCACACGAGGAGGGCTCGTCCAAGGAGGTTGGCGGGCCTGTCGGAGAGGCGGCGCCTACGGCTTCTGTGGAGGAGACCTCCAGAGGGCCCTCCGAGGAAGCGAGAACCGAGGAGGTATCTCGGATGGAAGTTGACCGGGGAATCCCATCAGGGTCCACCAGTCAGGAAGCGGAAGCGGAGGGAGGTGCTACCTCGGGCTCGGATTCGGGCTGAGGCTAGCATCGTGACCCGCAGGTGGTATTCCCGCAATAACATCTTCACGGGGATATTACAGATTAACCTGCAACACAGCAGGGCTGCAACGGCCCACTTATGCAGGAAAATTTCAGAGGGCGGTACATCTATTGTACTGATCCAAGAGCCCTGGATTGTAAAATCAAGGGTTAGGGGCTTATCTCTGGGAGGATCGATGCGGCATAGTGTCGACTCCTTAGAGGGCGGTCCCAGGGCCTAAGGGACAAGGCGTCCAGGGACCTGGTTCCAATCCTGGTCAGATCCCCGACTCGGGACGGCGTGAGGGAGGTAGTGGTCGCCTCTGCGTACTTTCCAGGCGACCGCAGCTGTCTTCCGCAGGAGATCAGTGACTTGGTCTCCTACTGCGAGGAGGCGAATCTTCCTCTTTTGATTGGCTGTGACAGCAATGCTCACCACGTTTTGTGGGGCAGCGCGGCAACGAATAGAAGGGGGGGACACCTCGTGGAGTTCATGGCCTCTGCAGGGCTGCAGGTGGCCAACAGAGGGGTAGAACCCACGTTTTTCACGACGGGTCGGAGCTCGGTCATAGATTTAACACTTTGTACCAGGGCTCTGCTCACGGAAATAACTGGGTGGTGTGTCTGTGGGGAAGACTCTATGTCGGACCATAGATACATCACCTTTGGGTTGGAGATGGGTGTTCGGGAACCCGTTAGATTTAGGAACCCCCGGGCAACAAACTGGGAACTCTATAGAGAGGAACATGCTCGGCGCCTAGGGGGCTTACCAAGGAAACACCGCACGATGGAGGAGATTGACGAGGCCGCCGACCGAGTCAGCTCCTCTATGATGCGGGCGTTCGAGAATAGTTGCCCTGAGACAGAGGAGCATAGGGCGGGAAGGACTCCTTGGTGGAGCTCTTCCCTGGAGCGTCTCAGTAGGAAAGTGCGGGGGCTGTTCAATACAGCGAGGAGCAGCAGCCAAGGTGCGGACTGGGATCTCTATAGGGAGGTCCGCAGACAGTACAAAAAAGAACTACGGGCATCACAGTGGAGGGCCTGGAGGGGCTACTGCGACAGAGTAATGAATACCCCGGACGCGGCTAGGCTCCTTAGGGTACTCAGAAGTGACCCTGCGGGAAGACTGGGGGTGGTCCGCAGGACCGGCGGTGGCTACACAGCGGGACCAGCGGACACACTACAACAGTTGCTGAACACGCACTTCCCAGGGTCCGCTGATCCGGACACAGGGGGGAATATTGAAGCCGGGGGTCGTCTTGGAGGCGACTACGCCACGGCAAGGAGGGTGGTTACCCATAGTAGGCTGAGGTGGGCTATTGACAGCTTTGGCCCCTTCAAGTCGGCGGGCGGGGATGGAGTATTTCCGGCTCTGCTGCACAGGGACGGAGGTCTCCTGACCAGCCCGCTGATGGACCTGTTCAGGGCCTCCATTGCGAGGGGGTACGTGCCCGAGCTGTGGAGACACAGCAGGGTAGTGTTCATTCCCAAGGTAGGGAAGAGTGACTACACAGACCCGAAGTCGTACCGGCCTGTTTGCCTCACCAGCTTCATTATGAAGACTCTGGAGAGGCTGGTGGACCGGTATCTGAGGGACTGGGTGGAGCTGGAGGCCCCTTTAGAGCCAGCTCAGCATGCATACCGAAGTGGCGGGTCTGTGGGCTCAGCTCTTCACCATCTGACTTCCAGGTTGGAGGAGGGTATGGGCTCGGGACGGCTGTCGGTGTGCGTGTTCGCTGACATCGAAGGGGCTTTCAATAACACGGCCCTGTACTCGATCTGCAGGGCGGTGGAGAGTACTGGAGTGGGGACGGCCATTGTAAGGTGGATCCGCTCCATGCTAACCGACAGGAGGGTCGAGGCAAGACAGGGTGGGGAGCAGGTCTCCATCGGTTCATCACGGGGTTGTCCACAGGGCGGGGTCTTGTCCCCGTTCCTGTGGTGCCTGGTGGTGAACGAGATATTGCATATTCTGAGGGAAGAACACGGGGTCTATGCTCAGGCATATGCAGACGACCTTGTGATAATGACGCCGGAGACGGACGTGAGGAGGATGCAGGGGCTCCTGAACGGAGCATTGGCAAGATTCTCACAATGGTGCCTGGACAGCAAGTTGGCTATCAATCCTGGCAAGGTGAAGATGGTCATCTTCACTAGGAAAAGGAAGATGGAGTGCAACCTCAACATTTCGATGGATGGGGTGCCTCTTTCTGCAAGCGGAAGTGTCAAGTACTTGGGCGTATGGTTGGACTCTAAGTTGACCTTCCAGGAACATATAAGATCAAGGACCAGGTCGGCCTTCGGAGCTCTGTGGGCGTGCCGGAGAGCGGTAGGGGGCACTTAGGGCCTGGGGCCGAAGATCATGCAGTGGATCTACGGTACCATGGTGGTGCCTATGCTCACGCATGGGGCAGTGGCATGGTGGCCGGGGACCAAAAGAGCGGAAGCAAGGCTAGTTCTTGACAGACTGCAGAGATTGGCTTGCCTCTGCATAACGGGCGCCATGAGAACGGCGCCCACGAGGGCCCTGGAGGCTCTGGTGGGGCTGCCCTCTCTGGCGGATCGGGTGCAGATGGAGGCGGCCAGGACAGCTGTGAGGTTGGCGAGCTGCGGGCTCTGGAGGGAGGGAACCTTCAATCGGGGTCCGTACGACATTTTAAAGAGCTGTCGTGGGGATCGCGGGGTCATGGGCATGCCGAGTGACGTCATGATCCCCGAGATGACCTTCTTTGATAAATTGACCTTTCTCTTTCCATCAAGGGAAGATTGGAGAGAGGGCAGACTTGGCTCCTGGGATGGACTTGTCTGGTACACGGACGGGTCCAGAGTGGGAGATCTGGCCGGAGCTGGAGCGTACTGCGAGACAACGGGATCAAGCTTGTCGGTCCCTTTGGGTCAGTACTGCACTGTGTTTCAGGCGGAAATTTTCGCTTTATTGATGGCGGCCAGAGAGGTGCTTCGGCTCAACTACGGAAGCAGGAGAGTCTTCTACTGCTCGGATAGTAGGGCTGCACTCGTGGCACTGAAGTCAGTGCGTACGCGCTCCTTGTTGATAAAGGAGTGCAAAGGGGTACTGAGGAGGGTGGCTGAGGAGAGAAAGGTCACGTTGGTCTGGGTCCCGGGTCACACCGGTGTCCGGGGCAATGAGGCAGCGGACGCCTTAGCCAGGGAGGGCTCCTCGCATAGGCATATAGGGCCAGAGCCCCGCTTGGGGATCGCCCCGTGTGTGAGGCGGGGAGCTCTAGAGCGGCCTGGGGGCACAACGGGCCCATCTGGTGGCCTAAGTGCTTGGACGCCCGCGAGGGCGCCCCCCTTTAATACCAATACCAATACTGTTAGAGAATATTCCCGTACTCACTTGTAGATGTTCTTTAAGCTCTAAATATATTTTGGGCAGGGTGTATGAAACTTTTTAAATGAAAATTTTGCAAACAAGTGAATAGGGCGAGATGGCCCAGTAAATTGGCCAGCTCGGACGCCTAACTTAATATGTGTAATTCTATTTATGCCACAGTAGATAGTCCAAAATAGTTACTAAGGCGAATTATGTGTTTAAAATAATGGAAATATGTTTAAGAACTTTGTAAACTTTTGTAACTTTTTGTAAATTAGTGATTTTTGATTGTTACCTATTCAATTCGGAATTATGAATTAGTCTTACCGGTTAATGTTATTTGATTTTTCATAAAACACACCAATTCTGCTCAAGACCTACTTTTCCATTTTTTATTTAAAAATTTCATTTTCCTCAAAGAAGTGAATCTTTTTCTCGTAACAGAACACAAGTTTTACGAGAAGGGACGTTCAATATGCGCATTAGCGAATTATTTCAAAACTCGCCTGCGGAGTAAAACAATTTTAATAGCGGTGAAAGTTCACTTCACTTTTCAATTTGGATATGTCCAGACCAGTTAAAAAGTATGACACATAGAAAATGAGGCGAAGTGCAGGTAATTTAGGTGCAAACGAATATTAATTTTTATTAAATATGTAATAAACGCAATAAACACAAAGAATAACTCAAAAAATGAATCAGAAGTTATTTGTTTTATATTTTAAGAAGTCAATTTGACCTCCAGTAAGTACTATGGGTCTTCAGATTCGATCAGTCATTTTTAAAAATAATATTTTTTTTATAAATTGCGTTTTATTAAAACAATATTCTAGAGATTCGAGAAACTAAAATATTAAGTTTTTGCTAGTTTCAAATTTTAGATTTCAAATATGTGGCGCCCTCGTACGACGAATAGCCGGACCGAGTAGGTTCTTTATAGTGCATAAGCCATCTATCTGTACGAATATTTTCAGCTCTTTATAAACAATATTAAAGCCGCACGAGAAATCTGTCGTTTTCGAAAATACGATGAAAAAGTTACCACGAATTGCCAGAATAAAAATATATCATCAACATCAGCTTGATCATCGAAGGTACAATTCTCGGCAGAGAACGGAGCAAGCAATACGCAGTGTGAAATAAACACTAGAAAACATTTCTGTAATAGAAAAATTGACATTTTACTTTTTTAGGAATATTTTAAACTGTGAAAGAAATCGGAGATAATAATATCCATTATGGTCGCCCGGTATAATTTATGTTTTGTTAAACGAGAAAAAGAAATATCCAGTTATATATCATTCCAGTATGACGTGATGTTACTCAATGTTATGATCAACATAAAGTTATCTTCTGATTATTTGTTTTTTAACAATTACTGGTAAAAACAAAGTTCGGTTTCGTAACAACTAACTTATATTTAATATAAAAAATATCACTGTAATATACACAATAAATACAACAACTTAATCCCAGAGATTCGATACATTAATTAAAATACGGTATCTGATTTTTCGACGACGTGTATGTAGAAACTGGGATCTTCAATTTCTTCCAGTTTCTTAAAGTCGCCGTATATCTTGTATTTTGAATTTTCACCGAACGCTGCCTCCAACATTTTCGTAAATACTTTCAACGTGTGCGGGTAGTAGCACAATCGAAATTCGCTGAAACATTAAAATTCCAATTTATTAAATTTAACTGAAGATTAAGAAAAAGACGAAAAGAAAATGGAAACAAAATTTCGGCAACCGAAAGACTGTATCGGCAGGAATAGCCAATATTTAATAAAAAAAATACGAATTACAGGAATAATTATTTCAATGTTTCAACAAGGGAAATAAAAAATCAGCTGAAAAAATGAAAATAATCAACAACTAATAAATTTTCAAATCTGCCATTGATGTTTTTATTCTCTACGGTTTTAAATATCCAGTGCCATAGCCAGTTCTAATAACAAAATTGGCTATATTAAATAAATAAATAAATATTTTCGAAAGCTAAAACAGCATAAGCTATTGATTTTGGATTTTACTATACAACTACACTGATGTACTACTTCGTATTTACTGTATTTTCAGATTTGCAAGTATTTAAGAAATAAATAACAAAATTTTGAAGTTTCATTTTAATGAAAAGTAAATTATGAAAATTAAAAAATATATATATCATAAAATAAAATAATAAAATGTTAATACAAATGATAACCTGTCGAGCGATAGTCCTGAGAACTTAGATTTTATGACAAATAACTCACGTTTATAGAAACAAAAGAATTATTCACCTGATGCAGTCGTTCTGTATTAAGTTCGAACTATCTTCCTTCTCCTTGTCGGAGCACAGGTCTATGATGTAATCTAGAGTTACTAGGGCCGGTTTACCGGTGACGTATAATACTGACGTCCTTATTTCAGTGGTGTGTTTAGGCTGAAAAGGAAATTGCGATTATGAATCGTCCACATATTCTCAGAGCTCGCTTACGCTGTAATAAATGCATTTTTCAGGTGCCTGACCAGTTTCGATAATGCTATCGTAATTGCGATGATCTATCAATAGCAACCCTCCCGGTTTTACGCACTTCTCGAAGTTTCTTAAGGCTTGACTGCAACAATAATTTTCAATTAGAGCAAAGATCATAAATTCAAGTAGTAATTAATTAAAGTAAAAATCTTTTATAACTTTTATTTAAATTTCCCGCAAAAACCGTTTTAACATTAAAGGTTAAAAGAACAATATTTTGCAATTAATGGTAGTAGTTCTCATAACATTTTAATTTATCTTTCATTTGGACAGAGTTTGATATAACAATTGATTTCACTATGTATGAATGTACAATGTTATCTATATTTGTGCCCCAAGCTATTCTGGGGACATCCTCAAAAAAACAAATTTTGGGAAACCATTATATTTTTTTATTGACCATCAACGTGGATAAAAATCCTATATATATTTTTTAAATTAGGCTTCTAGTTTTTTCATTTCATTTATTATTTTCATTGTATTATGTTTATGATGAAACGCAATTTTGTCCATGAAAATATTTTTTTCTACAGCTGTAAAAAAATGGTGACATTTTTTAATGGTTGTCAATATGACAAACACGTCATTGTTTATGGTATTTCCATAGAAACAGAAATCTAGAGGTTATTTGGTAACATGGCATTTTTATGTTTAACAAACACAAACACATACTAAAGAGGTTTTTCGATAAAGCTGTAGAAAATATTGTATACAATGCGGGCGTGAATAAATGTAACCCCTTCGACTGAGATTTTAATAATAATAATAATTTTGTTGTATAACCAGACAAATACTGGGAGGGATTTTTTTTTTAAATAAACGGCCTTACGTTTTGATATCACGCAGTATTAATAATATAACAAATTTTACAACTATTTTCACTGTATCCCACAACATTGGTGAAATAATTTTTCAATTTACCTTTGTTCTCTTTGATCTCCGTAATTGTCAAGCAAGTGAGCGAATGAATTTCCCAAGCAAATGACAGCATCGAATCCATCTCCAACCAAATCTTCGATGTCATCATACAAAGTCATCCAGTTCGCCTCTTCAATAACTGAAAAAATAATATTAAGTACTGTTATCTATACTTCCGGTAGACCAAATATTTATATCGAGAGGGAGTACAAATATTTGCAGCTTATTTTATTTTTTGATAATATTTTAGGGAATAGAAAACGCGCCCTTACCCCAGGCGTCAAAAATGGGTTCTTTGCGCCTATTCCACCGAGCTTTCAAAGCGTGTTTTAGCATTTTGTCGGAAGCGTCCACAGATACAACTTCAAACCCTTCCTCTAGTAACATGATAGAGTCGATACTGAAAGAGAAAGAATATAAAGTGATCCGAAATTTGCCGATATAGGATTAAACTTATATACCCAGTTCCGCAAGCTACGTCGAGAATTTTCTTGCATCCTTTGCTTCTCAGAAGGCCGACCAAAAAATTTTTGTAGTTTTTAGTTCGAGAGGTTTTGTCTCCAATAAAGACTTCCCAAACCTTCGCGGCCTTGCCGTCCGCGTACTGATCTTTAATACCTTCGACTGCCGTTCCCAAAGATCTTGTGGTGATCACGTTTTCGCCCATTATTTATTATGGTAATTATCCTGAATTTACAAGTTTACAAATTGTAATTGCAGTTTTAATAGGTTTTTTTGGAAAATAATTGTATCTTTTAGTGCTAAACTGCCAGTTGTTTTAAGTAAGATTTACCATCAATAAAAATGTTTCCCTTTTTTTTAAACCGAAAGGAAGAAACATATCCTACGTACAGAATATTGTCTATTGTTGTTTCGGGGAACTCCACGTATCTGAGTTGTTGATTCTTATCAGGTGGAAAATGCAAACATCGACTTTTATATATAGATTTTTTTCCGCTGGCTTCAGTATAAAAATTTTCCATCCATGTTTTAATCAATGAATTTTACATCTTTTTAGAATTTAAAATTACAATTAAAGGTCGCCTATCACCTGTCAATTTTACCAGTCCTACGAAAACTATCATGAACGCCAACATAATGTATAATTCGCAAAAAATATCATTTGTTTCGCCATTTCTTTAGATTTTATATATGTAAAAGTTTTCCGGAACGCTCATTAGTCTGATCCTGATCCTGATGCCCTTTTCTCCACCCGCATGTCAGAAAAAATTATATACTATATCGGGGAAGAGTTTTTGAGATTAACAAGCTTTTGTATTTTTTCAACCTATTACGTTATTTGGATGTTATTCCTAAGGTAATGATGGAAATGTGGTATTATGGCAATGCAACATTTAAATCTCTGTACAATGTACAAACAATCCTTTCGTAAAATTTGTTCAACCCATATAGTGAAACCAAAAATTTCACTTAGACATATCGCTTAGTGACCCTCTAAAATAAATTTCTACAAAAAATATGCCTAACTAAACTTGTTAAAATTTCACCATGAGGAATAAATAACTACTTATCTGTATTAATAATTACTCGATTTACTGGGTACAAATTACATACCTATTGATGAGAACGCGAAGCAGTTCACAAAAATTCAAATTTTGAAAGGCAATCGACATAGGTACCAGCGTGCTTTATACCTAACAACATTTTTGAGGAGGGGAAAATCTGTTCGAATAATATCACAAGTTTCGTCATCTTTTTAAACTCTTCACTGTTATTTATTATTGTGTGTACCGCTTATCTTTTTTTAAATCGCCTTCTGACGTATTGATCGCTCGTGTATTTAGGTACTGATATCTGAATGACTGGTAAAATATTCATTTTGGTCATTATCACTTAATTATTGCAATTAAAATATTCAATATATAATTTATCAATACCTAACATGGTAAATAACCTTTTGTATGAATATAAGGAGAAAAGTTTTTCAGCGATTACACATCGCGTGATGGACGCAAAACTATATCAAAAATAAGCTGTTGTACAGAGAACTGAACGAAAAAAATCCACTGCTGTAATGCTATTCGATTTAGAAAATTTTAAATATATTATATACATTATTAGATTGACCAAACGTCAAAATAAAATCAGTAACAAGTAAACAACTAAAGTACCGGAGAGACTGGAATTAGGTCGCGACGAATCTGACGTTTTAAAATCACACCTGACCCAAATAGGGCACAGCTAATGAGAGTATCTTTAGGAATTCAAAATTAGGGAGTAGAAAAACCTTATCATTCAAATTCACTGGGCATTTTCAAGTGTCGTGTGAAGTAAGTATATGTTATACAGGTAAAGTCACACTTCTGGATTCCGTCGGTGGTTAATAAAACGAACTTGCTGCCGTTTCCCCTGCAGGCTTCTTCAGAGCATGACTGAAACTGGCTCGCATTCTATTCTGTACTTGCTTATATACTGTTTGAGGGGCGCAACTAAAAAAGGGGCATGAATATTGTCTGGGATGACTCATTCCCATATTAGTGAAAGGTAAAAACCTGAGTCACGGTTAAGATTTTTCTCATCTCCAAATCAAAATCTAAAATCAAAATTATGAAAACGAGTTTAATGATATTTTCGCTTTTATGTCATGTGCAGCACAAAATAAAACCGCTTCCAAAAATGGCGCACCCTCCACAAAGCGTTGAGTTTATAGCGCATGTAGAGTTCGCCAAACGATATACCGTTTTTACGAGACAATCGGGTAATCAATCAATCAAGCAATTTGGTAAGTTTTTAATGAACCGCAGGCCTGGCTCGCTCGGGTTTCTTTTTGTAACCCCCATTAAATAGATTCGCAATTCCACAATGACGTTCCAGAACCGTACTTCGGTAGTTCGTGCATACAAATGCTGAAAGCTGACAGATTTGTGTAGAGTTTCTTCGGTGAGATTCCTCGATTATGCGGTGAAAAATATATTCTTATTTTAAAATGTTTATTATAAATAAAAATGAAGGAGTAAATTTAGATATAAAACAATGTTATGGGCAAATTCAACTTGAAATGGAGCTACCTCAAGTGGAAACAGTTTTAGGAAGATTTATAAAAAGCACACTAATATGAATTAATAAAACAGTGCAATCAAAGAAAACTTCTCTACTTTTAAAATACAACGGTGCGCACGGCACAGTTCTTGCCTTGACTTGTGGTACACGTGCTGAAAAGAATGATCCCTTCTGTTTTACAACAGGCGTCCGCCTCAAACAGTATATAAGCAGATACAGCAAGCCAATTGGCATATCAACAAGTTTTTTTGAAAGGTGTAAAGTACTCTGACTTGATGTCGGGATATTTTTTTGGAGTAGGACGAAGAAAGTCAATGAAGGAAATGGACAGTTTTTGTTTTATTATCGTAACCCGACATGGCCCTGGATAACAACGGCGCTATAGAAGATTGTGGTACAAATGAGCGATTTCTGCAATTTTGCAAACAAAATGAGTTTGTCAATGTATAGGAATACAATTTAAAATGCTTTTGAATTGAACACCTGGCTAAGGTTAGCAGGTAACCTTGAATTAAACATCAGTTCTGTTAAACTCGCTTTCTAACATACAATCCTTATTTATAAGATTTTAATTAAATGATGTAAGGCTTCTTCTTCACATCTAATTTAACACTTATTATTTTTTCTCTGTTGCTTAAAACATAGGTTTAAATCTCATTAAACCGATTTTTTTTATATCCAAAAAGAGCTTCTATTCCGGACGGAAAATTTGCAAAACGCTTTTTAAGTTGAACGTTCATTTTTGTTAGTATAAAAAGAAACAAGGACCAAGAAACAAAAGCTAATGTTGTAAATAATTAACCAGTACTAGGTACAATACCTAAACAACAATAATCTTAATGATTCAATGCCAAGAAAACTTTTCAAATCTTTTTAGAAACCTGAAACTTTAAACTAAGGCAAGGCGCATGCGTTGCTAGAATCTTCTTATTTCTCAAGAATGGCTACATAAAAATGATGTGCTGGATACTGTACATCTATTGCCAACTAAAGATAGTAACTTTACGTCAACACAATGCTGGCAACCTTGTTTTTAAACAACACATATCAATTTAAGCTTTGGTTCAAACTACTGGATTTCATTTTCTCTTTACATAAATATTAATCACTGTTTACAAAAATGTACAAAATTTCTATTGGAATAAAAGAAATCTCGGCAACTGCACCAAAGATTAGTTCTCCAAAATATCATCCAACCACTTATCAAGATCTTCATCTACATCTTTCCTTGAATCCATAGTGAATACAGTTTCTAAAATAAATGTACAGCTTATAATTGTCCATACTTCAATGAAAATTACCTTTGGTGGGTTTGATTGAGTTATTTTTTAATCCATCACTTAATACACCTCTGGATAAATCTTCATTTAATTGCAATCTTCTAATTTCATCAGAATTGGATATCAACAAATTTTCGCCTGATGAGGAACTATTCTTTGTTATTTCTACGGTGGGCTCTATGGATTGTAGCAGTTTTAAAGACATTTCATTGGCTTCTTTGTCCATTTTAATGAGTTCTTCATCCTAAAATGTATACACTGTAAAAAGTCTCGATTTTAAAAAGCTTCATTAGAAAATCCGACTACCTCAACAAATTTAAGGACTATTTTTTAAATGATTGCCTTGCTCCAAATTTTGAGTTTAATATAAAAGAACTGTTTCCACTACTTATCCTCACTATATCTATGAACATTCATATCATTGGACTATACCTCTTTAATAACTTTTGACTTAAAATGTATTTATTATTACATTTCTTCTCATTTGAAGACTATAAATGTTGATTTAGAGAGTAGAATTCATAACTGTTTCAAACCAGTTTCAGTTAAGCTTTGAAGAAGACAACAGGATGATTGGCAAAACATCAGCAGGTTCGATTCAAGGAATCTAGAACTTTTGTAAATAGTATTAGTAGCATGCGGAAGTTTCTTAGAAAAATTAATAATTTTTTTATTTTTATAATTACATGCCATAATGAGTTACTGAAGAGTGAACAAATTAATCCAGAAATAAGTAAACACACCTGGAAATAGGTCCTCTCAATTCCAACTCTTTCATTAAAAGGTACAAGTAAAATCCCCTGTTGGAGTACATCGAGATTTAAATAAAACAAACTATTAGCCCTTTGGTTTTTAACCTCCTCATGGATATCTTTATCCCTCTTAGACTCAAAATGACCTCCAATGGATATTGGAACATGAGACAGTAACTCAAAACTGGTAGCTTCAATATCATTCTTTGTATGTGTCGGTAAATTGATCTCATTACTGAATGAATAGTTATCCAAGTCTTCTTTATCATATCGGTGCCAATTGTGGGACTCAATCTGCTTGTGTTTAGGAGGAATATATTTTGAATTTTTTCTAGAATTATCTTTGTATTTTCTTTTGTCCTTTATATGCTTTAACCCCCTACAATCAAAAATATTTGTTTATCCTTATAAACACACACATATGACAATAACCTGCTCTTGTCTTTCTCCATATTAAAATTTAACTTAATTTTTTAACCCAAAAATGTGGACACCACAAACACCTGGCTCAATCCGGACTTAATACAATACCATTATCTCAAAAGCACACATTCAATACAATTATCCGTTTCACAAAAAATGTTGGGCTCGACTGCTAGGATCATTCGCCCATTGCCGACTTCCGTCAAGGATTTTCGCTTCTGGTCAACGACCACCACGTACAAAGAAGAAAAATAACCAATAATTTGCTCAGCTAGCAAAAAACGATTCTGAGCGATACCAATAAAAAATCGGCTTCCCCCCGCTTACACCGCGGACCATCCGGGCCCATCCGGCCTCCATACCGGCGTGAACGGGGAAAAACGACGGGGCCGACGACGATTATCACTTTAAAACATGCACTGAACACTAAAAACACTAAATCCACACAGTGGAAACCGATATCAAACTTTTGAGGACAAAAACAAGGGATTCTGTCGGGAGCGAACGGAGGTTAAACCGCCGCGTGCAATGCTCCACCACAGAATCCAAAAAAAAGCACACATATAAACATAGCAACACGATAGTCGTCTTTTCTGTGGAATGGGCAAGTGATTCAAATGAACGGTCCAACCACATACCGTTCCAAAATCGCGTTAAACGAATAAGTAAATAATAAGTAACCCATAAAGTTAAGCCTAACAGTTTTTTGTAAAACGCATCATTGAATTGAATTGAAGTAACCCATAGTACAAAAAAAAATCAGTGTTTTTGTAACGGGCTCATTCCTCGAGCACAAGGAATATTTCTTAGGTATATAGATTCCGCAGATATTGCATATTTCTAGTTGATCAGACTAAATGGAGAGAAACGCAATAAAAGAAGAAGCACGATCATGGGTGATAGCTGAAGATGTCGCGCTCATTGCCGGTAGAATCCCTTGTATGCAGTTTAAGACCTTTGGTATTTGGTAAATTGTTTGCAAGAGTTAGGTAGTTATGAGCCTACTGCGTGTTTGAGTGAATTTGGACGTTATTCTAGCGATTGGATGCGGAATGGGCTTAAACAGTCCCTGACAGGACTCGGAAACGGGCGAATGATGCTAGCAAATGTGCCTGACTGAAATTTGTAATGTAGAAAAAAGTACATTTGGTGATTATGTGATTCAAAGATAACGGATGGGTTTTGGTTAATTGTCCCTGATAATTGGATAGGTTTTTCGCAAGCACTTAACAGAGATTTTTATGTTTCTTTTGAGGAGAAACAGTTATTGTGTAAAGAGTTTCTCTAAAATGGCTCAATATTCTATTGCGGTTTGTCAATTCACTGCTACAAATAATAAACAGAATAACTTGGCGGTAGTTACAAAATTGGTAGATGAATCGGTGAAACAAAAGGCAAAAGTATGTACAAATTAGTAAATACTTCATCCAATAGCACTTTGATAACATTTTGGGTAGATGATTTTTCTTCCTGAAGCTTTTGACTATATAGCTAAGGACCACACAGAAGCTAGGGAATTAAGTGAGCCTTTAAATGGTACATTAATTTCAGAATATAAAAATTTAGCAAAATTGCATGGTGTTTGGTTATCTATAGGGGGATTCCATGAAAAGATTAATGATGTGAGTAAAAGATAATAATCTTGTTATTATTTAACTGAGTAATTTTAGAACTTACTTTATAATTCTCACATTATAATAGACTGTGAAGGGCAAGTCAGGGCAGTGTATCGAAAAACACACCTATTTGATATTTCTTTGCCCAATGATAGAGTAACTTTAAAAGAATCTGAACTTATTGTTGGTGGTTCACAGATCGCAATCCCAATTGAAACGCCCATAGGGAAATTGGGCCTTTCAATTGTATCCTTTTTACGTAGAAATCCTTTTTAAGATAGAAAATATTTAATAAAATAATTATTTCTTATTATAATATAGTGTTATGATTTGAGATTTCCAGAGCTCAGTTTAATACAAAAAAAACTTGGAGCTAGTATACTAACTTACCCTTCCGCATTTACTCATGTCACTGGGAAAGCACATTGGGAAATTTTATTGAGAGCCAGAGCTATTGAAACTCAGTGCTATGTAGTTGCAGCTGCCCAATACGGCAAACACAATGAAAAAAGAATATCACATGGGCAGTCTATGGTATAATTATGATAAATATCACTACAAATTAAATTTGTTACATATCTTGTAGATTGTTAATCCCTGGGGAGAAATAGTTGCTGAGTGTCCTAGATACCAAGAAGGAAAAGATATGGATGAAAGCATTGCTGTTGCCATAGTTGATTTGGGCTTTCTTAATAGAGTTAGAAATGAAATGCCCGTATTTTCACACAGACGAAATGATCTGTATAATCTGAATTTATTACAGAACCCACAAGACATTGGACAAGTCAACTATAGCTTTGCAGATAAAATAATACCAGCAAGCACCGTTTTTTATAGATCAAAGTATTCTTTTGCATTTACAAATATCAGATGTGTTGTACCGGGCCGTAAGTCAAATTAGTATTTGCAATTTCAAATTACATAAAATTGTTTTTAGATGTGCTTGTTTCTACTCTAAGAGTAGCACATCGTTTGCAAGATTTAAGTCAAGAAGAGATTGCAGATTTGTTTCAAACAAGTGTTAAAGTATGTAAAGTTATTGAAACTATCAATAATGCTCAGTCATCAACAATATGCGTCCAAGATGGGAAGTTTGCGGGCCAGACAGTTCCAGTAAGTTAACTTCAGTTGTAATAAGTACATATGAAGAAACAAACGGGTAAAGCTCTTCTCAACTCCCCACAATTAAAAAGAAAAACTGAATGCATATTTGCCTGGAACCTTTAATTTACAACTAAAATAACATCAAGATTACTGAATCCTTGACTACCTTGATTTCAGCATGTCCACGTTCATATTTTGCCAAGAAAGCAAGGAGATTTTGATAACAATGATGATATTTATATGCATCTAGCCCAACATGACAAGGATACAAGTTCTCAATGTTTTAGAACAGTGCAAGAGCAAGAGCATGAAGCATATATGTTAAAGAAATATTTTTATCAGCAATAAAAATATCTATTGTCAATAAAATTGTAACACTAACTTTTATTGCTGTTTAACATGTTCATCCTTAAACAACACATTGTCTAACTTTGCAGTCTCATCCAATATTTGGGCCTGATATACTCCAGATTTGACTTCTTTAGCTTGTATTACGCAAGTGCGAACTTCTTTTTCAATGGCCTTTGCATATTCAATCAATTCCAAAATGGCTTGGTGGTTTTGAATATGCTTATTCTTTTTAAATTCTGTATTAATTCTATTCCTGCTTTCTGTTAACGCCCTATCATCACCTTTAAAGACTTTTTTTCTTGCCTTGTGTAGCGACTTAAAACATTGCAAGACTGTTATTCTAACATTTATGGTCATTTCATTCACAATGTTTCCTACTGATTTAAAAAAAAGGTGATTATGTATAGACAAAAGCACAGAATACTATTGTCTGTGGCAGGAAGAGTATATAATTTTTGCCACCGTACAATATTTTGGGAATTCACTACAAAGTGCATATAAGCCAAGGAAATTATTTGTATTGTTTTTCGCGAACAAATCCGATTGGTTGTGAATTACACAAAGTATAATCCTTTACAATATTCAGCAGGGGACGAATAAGCTTAACAATCTTGCCCGAAATTGGTTTTTAAGATGATGACAAGTGAATTCTGCCGTTACCGTTGCACATGATGGGTTAAACTCTGTGCGATCCCGGTAATCGGTTTAAAATTTTTTCTATCGGTATGACTTAACATGTTATTTGTATCGCTTGGTTGGTCCGTTTTTATTATTCACGACGGTTGGAGGCCGAAAAAAATTAAAAAATTGCCTCGGTTTGTGACCAAAACCGGTAACTACACTTGATAACAAACAATTAATCTCTGGTTTCATAACGACTGATTCCTCAAAAAAAAAAAAAAAAAATATATATATATATATATATATATATATATATATATATATATATATATATATATATATACATATATATATATATATATATATATATATATATATATATATATATATATATATATATATATATATATATATATATCATTAATCGGGCGTGTGTCTAAGGTATAGTTGCCCACCAACAGCAAAGAAGAATATTCTGTTTTGACAAGATATGTCTCGTATCTATGAAATAAAAATATTAAAACCGATACCAAGTAATAGAATTTGGCTGATATGGCAATGGCATTAGTTTCTTACGACTTAAGCAGTGAAAGTGAAGGTGAAGATTTATTCAAAAGCCAGTTACATTTAAATAAAAAACAGAGTAGAATAAAAGAGAAAGTTAAAATTCCAATTCCCTCTCTTGCAAATTTTGACCAGGATGGCAGTGAAGAACCTTTAACAAAAAATGTCAAAATCTCCGAACAGGGTAATAACTTGGTGCAATTATTGCCTCCAGTTGCATCATCACCATTAACAGCAAAAAGTTTTGTGCCCAATATATTGAAAAAAAGAACTCTTACAGTTTCAAATTCTGTAACCAATAACCTTTGTAAAAAGCAGAGCAAAATTAAAAAAATACGAACCAAGGAAGTAACATCTGAAAGTGATAGTGATAGTGACCAAGAACACTTTAAAGTATCCGAGACTTTTAATGATGAATTGTGGAAAAAAGTGTGTGGGCGTTCTAAACAGAATCAATCAACAATAGCTAGTAATCCAGTTGAATTAAATGAAATCAATACCAAGCCAAGTATTAACATTGCTCCAGAAGCTGATAAACCATATGATGGTTTGAGTAATGATGCCTTTAGAGAGCTAATGGGAACACTGAAACGACCGATTGGAAAAATCAAACTTATGGACCTTGCTGAAGAAAATGTTGTAGCAGATAGTGAATTGTGGCTTACTAAATCATTAACGGATCCAGAAATGGCAGCTCCCAAAGGTCCTATTGAAGAACCAGTTGATCCAACAAGAAGGAAAAAGCACCACATAACTTATTTAGCACAATTAGCTAAAGAAAAAGAAGATGAATATAAAGCTGCTTGGGCAACAAGCAAAAACAACAGGCTAATGAGTAGAGCTAAATATGGATTTTAATATTTACAAATTGTTCTTTTTAAGTTATTTAAATTCATATACCATATCCGGATACTGTTGTTTTACTTCTGATGTGACATCTATTGAATGTTTTAAGTATTTTTCAGGTATGGTCCTACTTTATGATTGGTAAACAATGTCATATCAATTTTTACTCGGTAGCCATGTGGTATGTAATGTATGTAGTACATTATTTTTCTTAGCTCATTAAATTTTCACTGTTATTGAGCAAACACTTTAATAAAGTTTATTTTATATTTCTTTTAGTAACATATTCCTAAATTTTAATCAATTTTACTGTGATCCATTTTGTCTGCTTTTATATAATTTTTTGACTACACAAGTTTTCCTATGTATTCGGCTCTCTTTAACTTTTTCTTAAGACTAGGCCACTGTACTAAAAAATTATCTGCAAAATAAATTAAAATTTTCCCACTAAGAGAAAAGGACTCTGTTCTACAAATGCTTTCAATAAAAACAATTTTTGTTGAGGCTAAAAATGCACAATTAAATAAAAAAGTTATTATACATATGGGAATACAGGTGCCAGGGCCGTTGCATAAATTTAAATCTGGCCTTATTTTAAATACTATTGGGATACAATAAATTATCGAATAAACTGTACTAAAAATTGAAGAGATATATGACTGTCCAACAATTCTGCTCCTTGGAATTTTAATTACAGAATAATCCAACTTGTCTGATTTTTCATTTTCCAAGTTTTTAATTTTAATTTCACTTGTTTCATCATTGCTAGCCATAACATAGTATCTGGGAGAATACTTGTTGAAATCCAAATTTTGGATCAGGGCAATCATTTCAGTGGTATGTCCTCCAGATCCAATACAGATCACAGTTTTGCAGGGATTTTTTCTTGGGTGATTTGTATATTTACTAAATCCGGTTGTTACTTTATGCACTAGATACAACACTCGGGTTATTAGAAGAGCGACAATTAAAAAACCAAATTCGATCATAAATTGAGCTAAAATGGTAGGTGTTGTAATAATGTAAATAATTTTATAAGGCAACTTACTATCCATTTCATGTAGTCCTGCAGTTTATAAATATAGTAGAAGGGGAAATTTCAACTCTGATCGCGAAATGCACATAGATGAAAAGCGCTGCCAAATAATTAAACCAGGAAATTATATACGTTAAAATTTTGGTTATTTAATACTGCTTGATTTTGAAAAATTAAGATTAGTTAAGATTCGTTTATGTATTCATTGAGACAACATTATAGCCAATTGTATGTGAAACTGTTTTTTAATATAAATTTTATTTGTGTAAGAGTTGTCAATTGACTGGAACATGGAAAGGAAATTAGAAACGTCAATATATTGTAATATTCTGTGGTTGATTGCAGCTGAGGGACGTAGATATTGAGTTTTTTTAATTTTATATTTTACAAGCACCGGTTGATAATAAAACAAACGCCGCCCTTACAAGGACATTACAATTAATGCTATACTTTATTAAAACTAAACAACAAAATAAAATTGAAATGGACAATAAAGTTTACAAAAAAAAATGAAAAAAAAACTGTCACCAAATTTTAAAGGTTAACCTACTGTTGAATACTCATTTGTATACGAAATTTAAGAAAATTTGCTGTTGGTAACTGTATGTCTAGTTTTATCACTTGTTCAAAAAATAAGAGATTTATTTTAGAATTGCGCATCCGGTTAACTCATAATCGAGTTACTACTGTATTTTACAACTACGTTCGAGGATGGAAGTATTATCAACAGCAAAAAAATAAATAAATAAATAAATAAAATAAAGAACAGAGACAAATAACGGACCGGACTCCAAATTTGTTTATATTTAATCGGGACATTAACGACGATTTTTAAAAAACGTATACTAACTACAAGGAACCAAAACTAACTTCGCTTCGGGTGAAATTTTAGAGGAAAAATCAATTGTTTTAAATTTATTTGTCATCATAAGCGTTTTTATTTTTTGTGAATCAAAATAAAGTAAAAGCTTCTTTGTAATGTATGAGAATGACGATCAATTTATTCCAAATGAGGAAGGTGACATATTGGTTAAAGATCAATGTAAATTAGTTCCTTTAATTTTATAACTTTTTACTTAAGATTTTGGCTTTTCCATTCAATTATTGTTTTGAATTTAATTTAATTTATTGCATTATGTTTCAGAAACAAATACTCAATTTTGGGTTCCTGCCAATGAGATGGTTTAAAAATAGTATGTAGATGCTTTTTGAACACCTAGTTTTAAGCCCTGCAGGTAGTTATTTAATGTATATTTTAGACTGAAATATTTCTTTCTATTGATTACAGTTAGGGCAAAAATATCAAATAATAAAAAAATGCTGTTTGTTTTCATACTGGAAAACTAGAAGAGGCCCAGGAACCTGGGAAAAATCTTACATTGCCCCAAGAAGTAACACTTTTAATTATATTATATTCTAGCATTGAACCGAGGTGGCTTTTACTTGATGAAAATCCATTTAACCAGATAAATAAGAACTAAAAGTTAAGATTTTTACGAAATTATACATATTCACATGACAATTGCTACTGCAAGGAAAGCCCAGATCCAAGGTCAGACGAAATTGATGAAGGAAGAACGAAGACATATAGACATTTGGTAAAGACAGTGTTGTCGAAACTATTGTTATGTGAATATATATAATTTCGTGAAAATCTTTTAGTTTTTATTTATCTGGTTATATTGTAGCCATGAAAAGTGTTTTGACGCTAAGCTAAAAGAACACGCTTGTCAAAAACTCACAAAGGAATTTAATTAAAAAACAAGAAAAACACTAACTGAAATGAATGTTAAAAAAAGTGGAGAGCTTCAAAAAGGGCCTACAAGAAAATAAAATTTAAAAATTCTCAGAGGTGTGGAAAACATAAATAATAGATAATATACTGAAGAAAAAAAACAGAATTTAATATTAATAAATAAATTCACTTTATCCTGTCTTTTAGTACATACTGAAAAAAATGACTCGAAAGCTGAAATCTTGGAGTCCCCTAATGAGATACCAAATGACACACCTAAATCTGGATTTGTTGAAAGAACAGCAGGACCAAATGTGACTGATAGTCATAAAGATAAAATGGCTTGACACCACACACCATGAAAATATGATAGAGAACATGTAAAAGTGCAATTAATATAAAACATTAGACAGTAAGTTAGTTGGTTAACATAGGATATTTTTGTTTATAACTATTTTTCTTAAAATAAAAGTATAGTTATACTTAAGCTTTTTATTTAGGTACATTAAAAATATTAAAAAAATATTCCATTTAAGAACACGAAAAATGCATTTGGTCCAGGATGTGACTCAATATCTAACGCATTATGAGGATTATTGGCTTCTGTATTAAGGTCCATAATATTTTCTGCATCATCATGCTTGATTAAATACAAATTATGCAAGATATTAAAATAATTAAACTCATGTTCTAAAGTTACTGCTTCCACCTACTTCAACTGACAAATCTCCCTTTCAAAAGTGCAAATGCATTTTCAATTATAACTTTTGCCTTTGTGAAAACTGTATTGATTTTTTTTCTGTTTTGTTCAAAACGGATAATGGGTTTTTAAATACAACCGTATGAACCATTAGGTCTGTTAGAGACATCAGATTTAAGATAAACTGTGTCGTCATGAACAGAACCTACTTTACCAATGTAAACATTGATAATTAGTATATTATGCAACAAGTGCGGTAAACGGCATTTGACTCACGAGTTTATATAATAAATATATATGATAAACTTAAAAAGTTTACTAAACGTTATGCATACTATACTTTTTCTACGACCGTTAGTTTTTGTGTACATTTTCGCAAAACACGAATACATTCACTGACATGACTGTCAGAATTGACAAACGTGAAAATTCAAAGCGAGGGAAATATCTCCGAAAACATCTGATTGTTCCCAAACCCGTGCGGTAAAATCCCGGAAATGTCTGAAGTGGCTAGGATTCGTGGGAAACGAAACTGACGTGGTAAAGCGACGCTTCCCGCACGCTAGATTGGTGCGTAATTACGTATTTTACAGACGGGAATAGAAAAACAATGTTCTCTTATCATGTACTCCCTGAAGTATCACAATGAATCCTTTTCGATTTAATTATTTGTACATGCCTTCCATCAATGGCTCCCAATATATCCAAAAACATGTTTTTATTCTAATAATGCAATAAAAGTTTTAAAATTTTATGTTTCATGAATAACTATTTAAACATTGAACTGAGGAGGCTTTTACTTAATGGAAATCCATTTATCAAAAAAAATCTGAACTTTTAGTTCTTATTTATTTTGAATTATTTATACATCTTTCAAACGTAAAAGTAATAATAATAGTAGATAAATTTTAATTTTTGGTAGGGTTGACCTGAAATACAACTTTGTTTCTTGAATTTTTGCATATCCCTAGAGCACAACCAGTTTAAAATGCGTCTCCCTCCGTGAGATTTATAGTATTTTGTTCCAAAAAGTGTATCTTTCAAACTATTTCTTTTAAAAGTATTAAGTATTTTCAGTATTTCTTAAACACCAACTTGGCCATAAAAAAGTACACCTTTTTACATTTTACTTTTTGATAGACCTAATCATTTTCGAAAAAATCGCTTATGATTGTGCATAAAATGCTGTGACTTTGTTCGTTATTTTCTGAAATTGAAACATTTCTGTAAAATAGAAAATGAACCGTATATCCAAAATACTTGTAAAACATTTGCGTTGCATTTTGAAAACACCCTGTATAAGATGCGTTATAACCAGATTGGAGAACTCGTCGGTGCGTTCGAAAGATTCATTTAGCAATAAGCTCAGAACAGAGCTTTTTTATGTTAAATGAAAGGCAGTCAATCAATATTAAATTTATTATTTTTAGAAAACCGTAAAAAATATAAAGTTAAAGACAATGTCCCAGTATCTGGGCCTAAGCCTATAGGAGTCTTAATTTACACCATGGATTTTAATATCTGCATCTAAAACTACATTTTCAACATTGATCGATACTTTAAAATGTTTTGTGGGCACATTATTTGTTGCTTTTATTTTAAATAATACAGTTTCACCAGGCAACATGGTCCCAGTAGTAGGAGTTAATTGCAATCCAACTGGTGTACAAGCTGCTTCAAAAGTTGCACTTTTTGTCATTTCTGAACTTAAATAGAGACAATCTTCACTTTTCATGGGTGGAGAGAGGAAAATAATGGGAGGTTCCAATTTGCAAGATACATGACTCATTGTGGTGTCATTAAGTAGCTGAGTACTCTCAGTACACAAGGTCTGAAAAAACGCAGAATCTTCTGGAAATTCCGCTACAAGTGTTTGATTTGGATCCTGTTCAACTGTCAAAATGAATTCATTTATATTGAATGTTGACAAAATGTCTTCAAGAGCAGATGGACTTTCTTTAAATTTATGTATATCTTTGGGAACTATTTCTCCCTTCACTTTTTCGACCAAAACTGAACTCAATGAATCAACAGGCAGTTTTCTTTCCACCCGTTTTCGATAAAGTCTTTTTAAGCGAGCTCTATTAACTTCTGAGCCAGATACAATTTCTAATCTGCCAATATCAGTTACAGGTAAAACACTTAATGATTGTTTCAATATTTTGCTGTCTTTAGCATTTGGTACGTAGGATACAACAATGTTTTTTTCTTCACTTGGGGTTAATACAAATATGCTCGGTTCCACTTTGAAATTAGAATTTGTTAAAAAATGTTTTCCGATAAATTTAATATACACAAACATAGGGAGATTTCCCGAATTTCTTATTCCAAATGTTTGATGCAAACTCAATTTATTTTCCATCCTGCCTAAAGATAACCAAAGTTTTCCAGTGTTGTCTTTAATGGAATTTTGAAATTCAATATTTGTGTAACCTCCATATCCAAACAATCTTATACATTGCTTCTTAGTTTGAATTAGATTTGAATCTAGAGGTGTAAAACATAACTCATCTATTGCTCCACCCACTTTTGTTGGTGTAAAAGAAATCATTATTTGCCTGGATTCATGCCCATGAAGTAAAAATTTGTAACCATTTGGGATTTCCGCATCTATTCTATTGTCCTTTCTAATCTTAAATTCATATGTTGATAAAAAGCACTGTAAACGTATAGTCTTAGAGGTTCTATTCCGTAATAAAAATTCCTTAGTTACATATCTGTCAACTTTAACACATCCCCATACAAGCTCACTCTTTGTACTCTCGATGGGGAGTTTACCATCAGGCAAGTTGGTAAGGGAGCTTGAACTTCTGCTAGGTAATCTCAATAAATGTAGTTCCTGATGTGCATCTTCTAGTGTTTTGTCGGTACATGGTGGCTTAATATTTTCTTTATTGGTTTCAAGAGCATTCAATGCTTCATTTTCAGAAAATGCACTTGTATAAGAAGAATTCTTACTGACTGGAAGGCTTACTGTTTCTTCTAATTTGTTATCCAAATTGGTAATAACATTTTCAGATTTATTTTTCATTTTATTTGACAAATAGTTTATGACTTTCATAGGTGAATCTTCCGTCTCTGCAAGAAGTTGTCTGATTGCACTAATACTCAGACTTTTAGTCTTAACCATGCCAGTATTTGAGTTGGTAGATAGATCATGGGATAAATCAACCAATGCACTAATCTTTGATGGCTTTTCAGGGCTAATGGCTTCCTGGATATATGATATGTTATCTGATTTTTGTTGAAAATATTCTCCAACAGATATAGAGGGTACTCCAACACTCTCACGAAACGATGAGTAATTCATACTGGCAGGAATATCATGTTTTCTTTTCCATGACATTTCATCTGCTAATAATTTAGAATTTGCTTCTTCTGCAGGCATAAACATTTCACTATCAGCTGTGATTTCACTTTCAATTTTTGTGGCAGATGAAAGTTTCTTAAATTCTTCAACTACACTATCTATACTAACATTTGACTCTAACATTTTAGTGAACTGGGCTATAGATTCCCGAAACTTGACAGAATCAGTTTTAAAGTCATTTATAACTGAAGAACGTGGAGTTGAGGTATTCTTGGGAGTTTGAATCAGGTCACTTTCATTAATGGTACTGTCATACTGAATTTGTGTATTAGTTTGTGTGTAAGCTAGATTTGGTCTCAATAGTGGTGATGGTATGGCACCAAATTTAGATGCTCGATACAATGAGCTACTCGCTAATTTCCTTTGATTTTCTAAATCGTGGCTTAGATTGATTTCAGATACTTCGTAAGCAAAGACTTCGCTGTTTGCCGAGGATTTGTCCACGAGTAATGTCTCCTCGTTTTTTACATAATTCTTTCTTATTTTTGGTCTATCAACTGTGGATGTTGCACTAATTCTAGCTCTAAGTTTAGGTGTACTTAAATTATTTGTTTCCATCACTCAGAACTCGTTAAAACAAAATATATAAATGGGAAATCCATAAAAGTGCTTTTAAAATACCGGTAAACTAAAATCAATGATTTTGAGATCTTTGATAATTTTGACATTGTTGAAGTTACTTCAAACAACATATTAAACCAACCAGTATTGTTGTTCTTTGGCAGGAATGGAAATTCATTGTTTAATTTAACATTATATTATGCTGGGTTGAATTAAAAATGATAAAATACCCCAAAGTACGTAGTGGAAGTTTTTTTACCATCGCATAAATAATCGTTACATGTAAATTAAGTATCAGTCGATGACCATTGCAACAGAAATTCGTTACGGTGGCGGCAATAGCGGAATGATCCAGGTAATGTTGCCTAACTTTTATTGATATTAAAGAAGACCAGAGATTGCATGAGAACATTGGGTTTAATGAAATGTTTTTATTTTTATGCAAATTGAAAATGATATGTCTGTAAGAATTCAGGTAGGACTTTAAATATATGTATTATAATATGACATTTTTTAGGAATCCAGTAGGGATACCTCTTTAAGCAAAGCCTTATCGTGGATTTTGCGACATAAGGCAGTCGAAAAAAATATTAAAATTAACGAAGAAGGATTTATTAGAGTTCAGGATTTTTTATCTCATAAAAAGTTCCGGGGCAAATACAACATTGATGATATTAAAAGGGTTGTTGCTACAAATGATAAACAGAGATTTACTTTGAGGACCTATAATGGAATTTTAGAAATTTGTGCTGACCAGGGTCATTCTTTAAATGTTAGTTGTTTGTTGTAAATGGATAAAACTTCGAAATTTTTGAGAAGCCAAAATGTTTGGCTTCAGTCAGGGCTATGAATTATTTTTGCAATATAGGAAACAGGCTTTATTTTTTTCGTGTTTTGTGAACATGTCGAAAAATGTAAAAATCAATATTTTTTTGCAGTTTATCAGAGCGTCACACTTAACCCCCATTACCAGTCCTCAGACTATTCAAGTTTTACATGGGACATATATTCAAAATTGGAAATTCATAAGAATACAGGGCCTTAGTCGTATGAGGAGAAATCATATACACTTTGCCAAAGGTTTACCTGGTGACAAACAAATCTTAAGTGGCATGAGGAGAAATTGTCAGATTGTTATTTATATTAATTTGGAGCTAGCTCTTCGTGATGGTCTAAAATTTTATTTGTCATTGAACAATGTTATTTTAAGTCCTGGGAATGAGGAAGGAATTATTGCACCAAAATATTTTTTGAAAGTGTGTGATTTGTCTGGCAATATTCTGCAAAATTAAAATGGCTCAAAAAAACTCCATAGTGTACCAAAAAGGTAAGTGTTTGCAAACTTTGTTTGTTTATTTTTTAGGAATCTTCAAGCAATTTTTCCGCAATTTTACTATCATACCGTTGAATAACCCAACTACTCTATTTAATTTTAGGAAAACGCAAAGCAGATAACATAAATGTTTTGAATAGGAGACCACCTTCCTCACCAGCCCAAAAAAATGATAACAAGGAACTTGGGATATTTGTTAGAGGTTTGTCATTAAGTAATGGCTAGAGTAGTTTCCTATCTGTTTAACTTAATTCATTTTTGTTAGTTTTTAATAATAATAATAATTATTATTATTCTATTATTGTATTCTTTTTTTTTAACAGGTTTTAGTCCAAATACAGCAGACAGTGATATTACAAAATATTTTTCTAAGTTTGGAAATGTGGTAAAGGCACACTTTGGACCAAACTTTGCCCTGTTGGACTTCACTGCATCTTCATCAGTGGAAAAAGTTATGGCAATAAGAAAACATGTTTTAAATGGTCGAAGACTGATCATAAAACACAAGAGGCCGAATTATAGAAATGGTGAGCTGCGTCTACAGTATGCTGAAATGAATATTTGGTCTTTAAAGAATTCTTTAATAATTGGTTAGAAAAAAAAGAAAATAAATTATTTTGTGTACACTTTTCTAATCTGCCTCCAAGCTTTAAACTATTAAATAGTTAAATCATCTGTTTTGTGAAGAAGCAAAAAAAACTTTAAAAGGCCATTATTAAATTAAATTTCAAAAACTGCCCTTATCCTGCTAAGGAAGTCAAGAAAACAATAGATTGCTCGCAGTAACGATTCAGCTGGAACTTTGATTTTTATATTTTTTTTTACAAAAACTGTAATTTTTTGCAAGATTCCTGCATATATCTGTATGTGACTTGCTTCCCTTAGGTTGTACTCCAAATTTACATTGCGAATTTTTTTAGTTCTTGAAGAAAACGCCAAGGAAGATAAAGAGACTTTCAATGACATAATCAAGAACCTGATGTACCCGAATGGTTTTGTTGATCAAAGTAAATTTTTAGTGGATAGGTTGCAATCAAACTTGGAATCCAACCTAAGAAGATACAGCCAAATATGTCAGGACTTTTACAATGTTTTGTGTTATAGGTTCCCAAATGTTGAGATTCACCCTTTCGGTTCGACAGTAACTGGTTTAGGATTTAATAACAGTGATATTGATGTATATATTGCCAACGTAAGACGTCCACATAATAGTGAAATTGAATGTCTTGATGAACTCAGGGCGGTTTTGTCTAAAACAAAAATATTTTTAAACATTATGCTAATTAGTGCGAAAATTCCAATCCTGCGGTGTTTCCATGCAAATACGAAAATAAAATGCGATATTAACATTAATAATTCGTTGGGGATCTGCAACACTAAGCTGATCCATTATTACATTCATTCTCATCCAAAGGTGAAAACTATGATGATAATTATTAAGTACTGGGCAAAACTACACAAGTTAACTGGTCAAAGTCATTTATTTACAAATTATGCACTGGCATTATTGTTTATATTCTTTTTGCAACAGAAGCCATACAATTTTCCGAACGTTTTTTCTTTGCAACAAAACGAAAGTACAAATATTATCGCTCATAATTATTGGAACGGCAATTTTACGCCTGATTATAGTTATAGTTTTGAGGAAATTACTAGATTACCGGAAAACGAATTATTGCAAGGTTTTTTCAAATTTTACGGAGATTTTTCCTACCAATCAAATGTTATAAGTCCATATTTGGGTATTATCTTGGATAGTAGTCAATTCAAGTCCATAATTAAGTTGCCCAAAACATTTACTCTTTATAGACAGTATCTTTCATTAGAATATGGCCCGTCCCTAAGGATCGACACACCTATATGCTTGCAAGATCCATTTGAGCACTGTAGCAACAACACGGTTATGATAACTGAATCTACATTATCGAAATTTGTATTGTTTTGCAGATTAGGTGAAAAAAATTGTGCAGAAAGGGAATGTGTATTGCATAAACTTCTCACTGAGGAGCCATCAAATTTCAAACCAAGTGAAAATGAGTTTTCCAATGACCATTTACAGTTTGCTCTCACCAAGCCAACAAATATTGCATACCTTCAATCTCCTTCAACAACAAATAAAACGGAAAATACTCGGTGGTTTGAGACAGTTACAAATTTTGTTGTCATAGCATTTAAGGATTTTCTAAGTTTCGAAGTTGTGGATGACATGGAAGGACCAGTGTCGAGTAAAATTGCAAAAAGTAAAGGACAATCGGATATTCACGATTCAAAAACAAAATATTTTACTTGTTGTGGAGCAACAAATTACTGGAAAAATCGTAAAAGTGAAGGTAAGCAACCCGATATCAAGAATTGCTCTACTTTATTTGAAAGGGAAGCAACCATAACCAAGCGTCTTAAAAATATTTACAAAAATATTCAACATCCTAGGGACACTATTAAATTTAAACTTATCTTAGTGGATAAAGATGGCGAGGCTTTAGTGATTTTAGAAAAAATATCTGCTTATAAAAAAAAATTCAAGTCTTTTTGTATGTTTATTAGGGCAAAATTACCCGAGTGGTTTGACCTATACCAAAAAGATTTAAATAAACTAACAAATGAAAACTGACTAAAACGAAAGTAGTTATCTAGTTTTAAACGTTGCTACTTGTGGGTGTTTATTATTACAAGTTGTACAGTATGGCTCAACTGTTAATTAAACATATTTTTGATAAGCTAAATAATTAAAAAGTGTCTTTACCGTATAATTCTAATAATTTACGCTAAAGGAACACAAGGTTAATGGCACAGTTTTGAAATCATATCAAACAATAAATCTTTTTCATTTATGGATGTCGCTGTAAATAGATGTTTTACATTTTGAATCCCTTTTAACAGTCATGTATTTGTAGGTGTATATATGTAAGTGGTTGGACTCTTTGGAGTGTTATTAATTTTTGCACGTTGTTAATTTTATATATATATATATATATATATATATATATATATATATATATATATATATATATATATATATATATATATATATATATATATATATATATATATATATATATATATATATATATATATATATATATATTTGTAATATATGAACTATATATTTATATTGAGTTTTTACGGAGAACAAATAAATTTAGATATGTAAGATATGGTACCACTTATTAACACACATTTTCTTAATACTTTATTAAGGCGGGTGGTTTACATGCTTTGTTAATTAGGTAGCTACAAAAATGTGAAGATAGGTCCGTCGCTGTTTGAAATTCATTAGAAATATTTCTCTTGCAAAGTCAATACAAAGACAAAAGTAAATAGGGTAGATGTTGCAAAGCATTTTGGTGGGCCAGTCATAGTGAGCTAGAAAGATTTCACATATGTCTTGGACCAGCAGCGACACCATCCTTAACACACATTTTAAATGGTGAATGAATAATCGCTTTACTTACCGATCCTGGGTATACGACAAAGGGAAAAAACAACAAACACATCTTTTGTAAATTTATTTAAGAGCAAGTAGGAATTCATAGATGACCGCATATGTAAAATTTACTTTATTATAATGTTCTACATTCTTTATCATAGCCATTTTCATATCTCTTGTTAAAAAAACAACAGTGAATGATTGCATATTATGAGGTAAAGAAAAAATAAATTAAGTGTATCCGTAAATTACAAATTACAGTCCTAGTGATTAAAGGGTATTTACAAAAGATCCAAAAACCGACTCCCAAAACTTATTTGTAAGATGCGAAAACAGTGTTTTGTCAGTCGGTTTTTGATGTCGATTTACGAACTTTATTGAACACATCGTCCACTATTTGTGGATTGTTTTGCTTTTGGCCCTGGTTATGTGGTTTTATTTGCGTTATATTTCTTTGTTTTGAAAAATTAAATTCTGAGGTATTTGGTTCACTATTGGAAAATTGCCTATAGGTACAACATAATACTGTTTCGCTAAGAATATTGACTATAGGTTTCATTTTATAATTTGTAGAAAAAAAGTATAGGATCGTGTCTGCCACAAAAAAAATCTGTACTTGTTTCTCTCATTGCTCAGTTTGCTGGGATAATATAGTCATATTTCGTTGTTCAAAGCAAATCAGTAGTTACTTATCCAATTTATGTGAAAACGCAAAACATTTCTAATTCAGTAAATTGATATGCCCTTTAAGTAGATGGTATAAATTTATAACGGTGAAAGCTTCAGCGAAACCAAACATTTTCTTAGGCAGACCATTATCTTATGGAAATAAACTGATGAATGAAAAGGAAAACCAGAGCCAACTGTTTTAGGATTGCCATTTTTTGTTATAACTTTAAGCTAAGAATAAATTTACATTTCTGCAAGAAACTTTGTGTAATTAATATCTCCGGTGCACTGGGAGATATTTCTTACCTACATTGTAATGGAACCTTTCGTTTTGGTGCTTTTCTAGTAAAAACTGCTCTGCCTCTACCAGTTGTTTCCTAACCCAAAGAGCCTAGTTTCGGTTAGTAAATAGTAATTACATTTTCAAAATAATTAAAAATCCCTTTTTATTTATATTTTGCATCCTTCGTGGGCGCACTTGATAATTGCACTATAACTAGGCTCGTCGTCAACAACTGAAGATTACTTGAGCAGTGAAAACGTACAAATAAACTGCTTAAACTCTGACCAAATCATACAAGTCCAAAATGTGTGAATTTTTGCAAACAAACATTACAAAATAATTTTGTTACGAATTAGATGCATGCCGCCAATCCTACGCTGCCGCTCACGGACATGAATCCGTCGACTGGCAGAAAGTCAGAAAAAATTATCACACACACGTTCCAATAGAATTAAACACACCTAGCACCCTGTGCATGACGCCCTCTACCAATAGAAGAACGAAAATCACACTATTTACCGCGGACAAACAGACGGCTAACAAAAACATGACAACCCCAAAATACGTACAGTCAACGTCGAAATAAAAACCAAAAAAAAAAAAAAATCAGGCAAAAACATGTATACAATATGTGGACCTATAATTACGCGTTATAGTTAAACACTAGTCGTAAATTACTTTTTCCTTAAATTTTCCAACCTATTGACCTAACGATTTTTTCCTTCCCTATTATTTTGTTTTATTATCACTCGCTCTCATTTCTTCTTATCGAAATTCAATATTTAACTTAAAACAGAGCAATTACGCGAGACGAACGAATTGCGCGTGCCGTTTAGAAACAACAGAGTCCTCGTGCGAACTCTCAGTTTGTTGTCGTCACACTACAGTCAATCATCCGTTCGCGGTAAACAAACGAAATTTATTTAGAAACCCTAACAGCGGTCAACAAATTAAATCGCAACATTTCTTTCATTTCGTCTATCGATTTCGAGATTTTATGAAATTTTTGAAGTATACGCAGTTGAACGGTTCATTTTTTCCGCCGAAAACGTAATTGGGTCGTGACGCAATTTTGAATGTCGCCGAAGCGAACTGTCTCCTCAACTCTTGTTGCTCTTAAATTAAAAAAAAAATGTATATATATAATTCTACACTCCATGAGCAGTGAAGAAGCAGGTCTTACACTTAATACCAATAACACATAATTGATAGTCAGCAGCGAAGCAAATATCCGGGAAAGATTATATGTTCGCAGTGAGAAAAGTCGAGAGAGTCAGTTAGAAAAAATACCTGGGTACCATGTTAAACTCTACTCGAGCACACTAGAACTTAAGATCAGATTGGCCCGATGCCATGTTTTTTCAATCCTTTATGGAAAGGAGTTGTGGACAACAAACAATGACGACTTAAAAAGACTCCAGGCTTTTAAAATGTGTTTGATAAGTTTCTTTTACGGAGAGAGTAACAAACGCAGAGATATTAACGGATAAAATAACAGAAACAGTGGAGACCGTAAAGGCAGGGAAGCTTGCTTGCCTGAACCACGTTATGCGCGGAAAAAGGTACCACATGCTAACGCTAATAATACAGGGAAAAATACAAAGCAAGAGAAGCGTGGAGAGAAGGCGCACTTTACGGCTGAAAAACTTAAGATAATGGTACCGCTGTACATGAATAGAAGTGAGAGTCACCATGATGATAGCCAACCTTCTTAGAGACGGCAAATAAAGAAGAACAACCTTTCATGTACCCCGAAATATTCCCACCGCTAAGATCGAGTTGTTAAATACCGCTTGCCGAAGGTGGATTCTTTCAAAGATTTGTGGAAAAAATGGTTTCTAAATTATGAGATCTTTTAGAAAACAAAATCATTTCAATGCGAATTTCAAGTCAAAAAAATGAACGTAATAAAATAAAAGTTTTACGGGTTTGAACGAAAATGTTGAATTCGCTATTTTACAAATTGTGAAGGAGTTAAATAAAAAAAATTATGAGATATCCATATCATTAGGCGTAAAAATCTGCGCTTTCGGATTACCTTTTCCGAGATCCCCATGCAGTGCCCATCTTAGCCAAATTTGCCAATATGTAAGTACTCGGCACAATTTTATATAGAGACCGCAGTCGACTCCAACGACAACCAAAATTATTGCGCACAATATAATTTAAAAATACAATTCAACACTAAATGTTTTAGTGGTCAACCACTGTCTTCCGTTAAAGTTCAATTTGCAATACTTCAACAACTTCCGTATTATTTACCGTTCGCGTCACTATCGAATCAGTGTTCGAACCGTTTAATGTATTGCCATGGGACTCTGTTGCAAGCACACTCCCACCATCGGACTGCTGTCATCTCGGTTGCTGCCACCTTCCTGCTGTTGCTTTCCTCGTCCGGTCTGTTGGGGCACGACCTGGACTCCTTGGCCGCTATGCTTATTTGAATGCATTATCATGGGCATCGGATGACCCATTCCGTCCAACATCATGTAGGGCGGACACTGCAGCGAAGACGGACCGTGGTTCATTACGGGGGCTTGTTGCGGTGGTTGGTGGTGATACCTTTGAGATACTTGCTGAGGGCCGCCCCTATGAGAATGATGCTGCTGCTGGGACCTGCCAGAAGAGGGCGACGAATCGCACTCCATGGCCATGTAGGCCGATGGGGCTTGTTGATAAGGGTGGCCCGGTAGCAGTTCTCTGGAACGACTGACTAAATTTAACCCTGTAATATAAAAAAAAAAATTGTAATATAAAGTAACTGCCATTAAACCGATAAAAATCAATGTAGCCACCGTCGAAGGAGCGAAACAGATGATTTATAATATATTGCACATTTAAAACAAACCAGGAAAGTGTCTTAAAGTAAACTAGTCTAGTAATATAATATAACAAAGAACAAGCCATGACAAAACCCAAAATGTATAAAGAAATTACTGGCGACGAAGCGAAATTATTTTTTCAATCATACGCCACAGTATTTAATAAAAACCTGTTTTGTATATGTTACAGGCAAATATTTGAAAAACTACCCATTCTTGACCTTATTCAAGCGCAGTTTAGTTTTTATTGCTTGGTAAGATTAAATTAGCAAATTTAGTTTTTCAGTTTCCATCTATAAGACTTATTCTTTTTTAAAAAAATTTTTTGAACATTCTATATTAATTTAAAAAAAAAACAGGACAAACCATTCCAAAACACATAACACAGATTTTCTGGTGGTCATCCAGGTTACATTTTTATTAAATTATTAGTAGAAAAACCAAGTTGCAACGGACATCATATCTCCATAATTATACAAGATATGGTGTTTGTAATTAAACAAAATTAACGGTAAGTTTTGTGCATATCCCGCTTCATCTCCTGTATTTTCCCATATAGTTTGATCGAAGATAAAGAGGCCGCCCTATAACATGCCATGCCATTGTTGTATAAAATTGAACACTGTGTAATAAGCCTTTAAATTGTGAAGGGAAGAATGAATGTTCATCGTCAAAACCGTTCAATCGAGGATATTCCATTGGCTCTCGATAATTGAGTTAATTAAGCCCGAATGCCAAAATACATGCGCCCTATCAAATTCCCAATTACGTCCTTTGTTTTTGAAAGCGCGTTAGATCATCACATTCGATTTAAAGCGCAAAGTTGTTCCTCAGTTTCGATAATGGGAATATTGTTGAATATTTTTTAAAATTTGAAGTCAAAAAATTTTTTGTAGTTTTCCAACGGAAACGTCACGCAAATATATATGATATATAGTTTAACAGAAGTTACGTTCACCTAGTTTCTGGAAGCGCAATATGGCCAATCTTCCTAAACCCAGAAAAAGTCAAATATCTAATCGAATTTTAGGTAGAACAACTTTCTTTGATACTTCCAACAATAAGTCCCTGAAATACATGGCTAAATAAAAAAGAATTATCTTACTCCAACGAAACAGATGGTTTGGTTTGTCTGTGAATTAAAAATGTGGTGAATAGCAGCAACACAGAAAGAAACGTTGCAACAATTGCCAATATGGATGAACCATCTAATTTTCAGTTCTCATTTTTTCAAGAAGAATTCTTTAAATGTTTTTTTTTTTTGCATAAAACCACTATAAAGCCTGAGTTAAAGGTAACTTAGTTTGCTACTAATGGGTTGCTACAGCCAGCCAGTAAACTTATTAAAGGATAGTCATAAAAGTTGAATTAGTTGAAAGATCTTGCACTCATTAAACATTTCCAATTTTACTACAGATAAATATAATTGTTTAATTAAGATTAATACAGTGCCTTGAACTAGTCCTTTGTTATAAAAACATGCAGATATGACAAAAAACAGTAAAATATAAATAGGGGTAGGATAAGTTAGTACCTGTATTAATAAGAGCGGTTTATTCACAACCGTATCACTATGTTAGTCATTGATGGTTCCCTGAAAAGTCTACAAGAAAAATCACAATTAATTATAAGACTAAACTATTATATCAGACAAGAAAATGGTATTATGAATCATAGAATCGACAAACTTACCAAACATGGACAAAACGAAATTATTAGGACACACTTGCTTTTGGTTTAGCAACATAACATGATTGATTTCGTGTGTATAAAATATAAGTATGCACATTACAACATAGGAGATAATATATTGAAATTGTGGAAGAACTAAAGAACCGGAAACGTAAGTGTATAAAATGAAGCTGACATTACAGTGACACTATTCCACATCTGATCTGTGCAAAATTCGTTATTTCAGAGTACAAAAAATTTATTTTTAATTATTATTTTGTCAGGAGAACCCAAAAATACTATTAAACAGGGTGTTTCAAAACAAATGCGAACTTACCAGGGTACAACCTTGTTTAAAATAAAGAACAGTTATAAATGTTAAGTCAACAGCCAAACATCAGGGAAACATCGTGCTATAAATATGGTGGAAAAAGAAGGTTTTTATTTTTTTTCTTAAAAACGAAAATAGAACAATAAAATATTACTATATTATATACTATATTATTTTCATAAAAACACACTTTCTGCATATTTTTTTACTTAAAAAAAAACTACCATTCTTCTTAACAAAATTTGAAGAAAAACTTACGCAACCAATTATTAATAATTTATAATAAAATTAATAGTTAATTAATTTATTAATAACATTATTGTTTTCTTTGGAAACTCTAAGTTTTATGAAAAAATTGCGGGACACTTAACAGTTTCTAAGAAGTAATTGCGTCCACTCGTTTTAAAGAAATAAAATATGCAGAAAGTGTGTTTTAATAACAGTATTACTTCCGTAATATTTTATTGTTTTATCTCTTTTCGTTTTTAAGATAAAATAAAAACATTACTTTTTTGCATTATTTGTAACGCGATATATAGATATAGAACATTGTTCTAAAGACATTCATCATCCAATGGAAAATATACAGACTAATAGCAGTCATATACCATATATAAAGCATTTTTTCTTATTAAAAAATAATTTAATAGAAAAATCAAATTTGATTGTAAATTTCACAAATTGCGCCACATTACTTTGATTTTCAAATAAACTAAAAAATAAATTAAACCAACAAATGGAAACAGATTTTTTTTACACATTACACATTCTCCCAATCTTTATCCCCAGGGACAAAGGACAGATAAAATTTGAGAGAGTAAGGGGGATCTTTTAATATTGTTTTTTTTTTTTGGTTGTTCGTCACAAATTGAAAATCCCGATTGCGCTATTACCATTTAAGGGAAAGTTAGTAAAAAGTTTTGGTGGTAAATGTAACAAATTTTATTTTTGCAGATTTAGAACAGTCTTTACGTAATATCCTATATCTTAAAAACAAAAAAGTTGTGCATTCTTGTTTTTGAGAACTTTTTAGGGGTTAAAATATTGAATTTTAATTTAGGAACATCTTCTACATAATGAACACGAATAACAGGTTTATGAACTAAAAAATAATAACAAAAAAAATCGTAAATTTACGAAAAAGATTCCTCCATTAAAAATATTTTTGATTTTATGCCAAAGGGATATGCAACAATGCTCAGAATTTAAAGTTTTTGTTGGTTTAGTTTCGGTATGCCTTAATAACATAGAATAAAATTTTCTGCTTGAAAGCCAAGAATGTGATTTAAAACGCTCCTCTGCAGCTTATTTTTTGGGTGATAGTGTAGTTCGGGTAACGATATACCGTTTTTACAACCTTTCATGGTTTTGACTTCGGAATGAGTTAAAGACCCGCATTTTGTAAAGTGGAAGGGACCATTCTTTTCAGCACGTGTACCATAAGCCAGGACCGTATTTAAGATGTTAGCCGACAAGGACTGTGCCGTGGGGACGGTTGTATTTCAAGAGTAGGGAAATTTTCTTTGATTAAACTTTTATATTAATTCATATTCGTGTGCTTTTTATAAATCAGAAAATGATATGTATTTTGAAAATTCCTACACTAAGAAGCAGTAATTGGAAGTTCTTAAGAATCACTGCAATTTTAACCTGATGGAAAACCCAATTTAATAAGAAACAACGCCTCGCCGAAATTTAGTTCTGGGGCAATAGGATTAATTAGAAGTGAAGTAGAAAAAATATCTGCTTCTAGTTGGAAAAATGTGTAGAATATGTCATTGAAGAAGAAAATGCTTACTAGTGACAGTATTAATTATTAATGTGGGGGACAAGTCCGGTGACGATAGTGATTATTTTGATGAAGAATAACATGTTAATAAATATTCTAACATTGTTTTACTCCTTCATTTATATTTATAATAAACATTATAAAGTAAGAATGGATTTTTTACTGCATGGATTAATAATAATCGAGGAATCTCATCGATGAAACTCTATACAAATCCGACCGCTTTCAGCATTTATATGCACGAAGTACCGATGTACGGTTCTGGAACGTCATTCTGGAATTGCAAACCTATTTATTGAGGGTTACAATGAGAAACCCAAGCCAGGTAGGCCTGCAGTTAGACCTTCATAAAAATTTACCAAAGATAAATACCGGATTATGTAGTACAAACGGTATATCGTCTGCGAACTATAACGAATAATCTACATCGCCGATGTGTAAAAGTAATGAAGAGATTAAAAATATCTGCTTACCGTGCTGACTGTTAGCTCCGCTGTTTGTCATACCGCTCGAAGACAAGTCTAGGGAGGCCACCACGGGGCTGCTACTTGTGCTGTTGCTGGAATTACAGGCGACTGCCTGCGCAGCAGCGGTATTGGTGCTTTCGTCCGAAGTCCGCTTGAAAAAACTATGCTGCAACGCGTAGTAAGGGGTGATTCGGGTTTTGGGGTCGTAATCGAGCATACGTAAAATTAGGTCCTGCGAATAAAAGTCGTTGACGCGAAAAATTGTTATTTCCTTGATGAATGACGTACTTTAAATTTGAGGTAATCTGACATCGAGTGTCCGGGTTCGCCAGCTCTTCGACTGCCCGGGCCGCCATTTTCCACACCCAAAATATCGTGTAAACGGCGAGTGCCCGGAGCCTTATATTTCTTACCGTCTTTCGTTTTCTTCAAAATGTACCTACGATTATTTAATATTATTAATTATGGTTACTTTGTTACTTGAATGGGCGACTTACTTTCGATCGCCGGGAACCTTTTCGAAATATTTTCTCGTTTTGCTAGCCTGATCCAGCAATTGTTTCGAAGGGAGTCCCAAAACTTCGATAATTTTGTTCATCTGGTCAACTTCATTCGCGCCGCTGAACAGAGGCTCGCCAGTATGCATCTCAACGAGTATACATCCCAACGACCACATGTCAATCGCTAGGTCATAAGAAATACCTAACAAAACCTCAGGTGATCGATAAAATCTCGATTGAATGTACTGATATATCTGGAAGAAACAAAGAAAAAAGGGAAACAATAAGTGAGAAATTAGAAACTTGAACGTTACGAGATGCGCACTTAACCCATTCATTGATAATAAATAAATAATAAACGCACCAAGAAATTTAGCTAAAAAATCTGGTTGCTGAACAGAAATTGTATTTTATTTATTGATTTATAAACAATACGACATAAACTTGGGCACAGAAAAGCACATGGGGTAACGGACAAAAAAATTTCATAACTATTTTGTAAAAATTTGGGCTGAATTTCGTTCGATAGATAGATAGACAGAAAATGACTTGCAGTGATTGAAGCTGCATTGTATTGTATTGCATTTGTAGAGCAAAAAAATCACCACCACCATATTCCAAGAATGATCCGATGATGGTTGCATTTGCTTCTTAACAATTCTTTTGAGATTTCATCTGGCCCAAATGCGACATTTTCTCGACTAAAGATAAATATGATATTTTTTTAAACTTTTTCCCAGTTGTGGTCGGTAAGCTTTAAGAATATGCAGTAGTAGTACGGCGAGGGTATCTTAAGTAAACACACTTTTCGGATCAAATTCTGAATGAAAAATGCAAACCGTAGCTGCCAAATCTCCATTTTTAATAAATTCAGCTAGCCCTGCTGTGTTTATTTTAAGTTAGCAACCTGGCATAAATAGTACACAATTCAAATCTTGCATACATTTTTGGGAAACCTCTTTATTTTATAAATAAGAATATAAAATCAATCAAAAATTTCCAGGTTTGTAAGAAAACGCCAATCTCTTCAAAACTACTTTCTGAAATGGGCAAGTTAAATAATAAGGTGTCCCAAAACCGATCTACGCATCAAGGAGGGAAAACACATCCTGGCAATTTGGGATACTATTCAAAATTTATTTCCAATATATTGTCGTTCAGTTCTTGTGCTTCTGAATTGTTACACATGTTTTTGATCGTAATCTCTTCTATGCAAACTCTCAATGAAAGAGGTACTCTACTTCCTCAAGAGTGCAGAGCTAGGGGAGGGAGTGAAGGCGTGCGGGCATAATGGATCGAAAGGTTTGAATGCAGCGCCTTGGCCATAAAGGACAGGGAGCCACCGCAGATAGAATAGGAAATGACTTATTACTTTGTTTTTGACAAATATCGGATTCCAAATTATACAAAAAAAAGCAGTTTATTCGGACAAAACCAAAAAAAATTATTTACCTTCAGACTTACCCTTTGTCCCAGCTGGCAGGAGCTTCCAAAGTCGACTATTTTTATTGCAGACCGTTTAGGATTGCACAGGAGAATATTCTCAGGTTTCAGATCGCAGTGAATTATACTGAGTTCTGGAGTTGAGAGGAACAGCAGAGCAGTGCAGAGTTGCTGTGCAAACTTTCTCGTCAGATTTAAAGACACCCCGCGGAAATTCGTATTCCGCAACAGATCATAGAGGTTATACGATAACAGCTCAAACACTAAGCAAAGGTGATTTCGCCACATAAAATGTCTTTTTAATTTTACTGCAACAGAACAAAAACAAATTTATTTCGTCGTTGATTAATCAAATGGACGACAAATTACCTATATAATACTTGTTTTCAGCGTCGGCTTTGTTCATCATCTCGAGCAGCTTAACCTCGATTTGGGCTTGATTAAGAAAAGGCTTCTTGTTCTTAATTATTTTGACCGCTACATTGCACTTGTCCAAGTGGTCGTAGGCCTTTACCACCTGTCCAAATGATCCCTTACCAATCAATGAGTCAATTTCATATCTGCGAATAATGACGTTTATTAATTGTTTGGTACAGTTTTAATTAGCAAGAACCCAATTCAAAATTTATTCATACATCATCATCATTCATACAAAATTTGTAGAATACAATATTTCCCTATAAATATATCGGGATATAATGGTTTATCCGGTAATTCTTAATGTGTTCAGAATTTGAATTAAAATTTTCAGTTAATTAGTTCCCAATTTATTGCAAAAATTGCAATTCTCCCCTTACAAATTTTAAGATTTATTTTTCACTACTCGATTACTCTATTAAATTAGTATTTTTGATAATTTTAATAATAAGCTTCTAGTAAAAAATGTAAATACATGTAGCAGGAGCATTATTACAATTTTGAAATAACAACTTGAGAACGGATTGAAACTTTCCTTCTCAAAATATCCACTTTTTATCATCTAAAACTTTTTTTTTAAACTCTATCTGTAATGGTAGGTGGGTCGCTAAAAACTGGACTTCATAATATATAAATAATAACTAAACTCTCTTAATTCCTACTTTTTCTGTGGCCCTACTGTAAGAAACCTTTACAATCAATAAAACGAGTCTATTAATGACGACAACAGGAAAACCTTTTCGAAATTTACAAAATGTTCGTCATTTGCATTTGAGGTTAATAGATATTTTACTTTTTTTGCACAATACTTTCTGCGCTTTTGATTGCAGCATCCTGTTTTTTGGTTTTATTGATTATAATTACTATTGTTTTCGAACGGTCTTTTGTTTCGTGAATGGAATTACCTGTCGAGGAACTTTTCACCGGTCTTTATAATATAGTCGTGGTTGTCATCGTCGTAGCCATCGTTGTAAATCTTGCGCTCTTTTTTATGAGAACTGTCATCGCCTTGGATTTGAGCTGCCCGTCGTTTTTTTTTCGCATAGTATACCTATAACAATTTCAAATTTTCATAAAGTTACAAAGTTGGACTGAATAATATTATAAGCTTGGCGTATATATAAACATGCTTTCGAGTGAACATTTTCGACGAACAATTAAAAATATCGAATTTAGAGAATCAAGAATGAATTGAGTCATAAAGTACGACACACCCACGCGAAAACCCACTCCTGATCAAAGAAATGAAAACCGAGGGCGGAAAGATAAAATTAAATCGATCGCACCAAGCCAAAGGTCTAAAGGGGGTAAAAACATTTTAATTAACTTGGAAACAACTAACCAACCTTCATGTTATGTTAGTTTCTATGGTTTCTATGAAGTTTTTTCTTTAATTTGGGTCAATATCATTATCTACATATTTAGTAATTCAAAACTTTTGCAGGTTTTCAATTATAATTTCTTTTATTATTAAATCGACCAGAGAAAAAAAAACCACACCTGAAAATTCCGGCAGTGGGCAGCATGTTGTAAAATTGCTAGCCATCAAAATTCCGGAAATATTTTTTTGCTCCCCAAAAAACTTAAGTGCGACAATTTAACCTTTAAACGGGATCCGTCTAATCGAGCGTTCCAATTTTTCGTTTGCAGCCAGTGTGCGAGGAGTTCCAATATGGCGTTGGGTCACGAGTTCCCGATGTGTCGGCTGTCGCCCGCTACCGTCACTTCTTGTCCGCCATAACTTTTCTAGCAGCCAGTGTTCGTGTTATGCATTCCAAATCAGGCAATATTTAAGGCGTTATATGTCGCTATTGCCTTATTGCCCCCGGGTTGCAGTTTAGGGGAAGCGACTTTTCTTTCGATTAATATTTCTAACCAGCCCCGTTTTACAGAAGTTAATTTTACCTACCTACATTGTCATTAGCTGCTAATGAACCTCACTGCCGACGATGTTTTTTTCTATCAAGAACTTTTAAGCTTTTCCATCTAACGATTCGTTTACAAGGTTTTAAACTGAAAAGTTACGATCCCTTTTTTTACCTCCAATGTTATGGTATATCGCAATGTTGTTCGTTAAATTCAAACAACTATAATATTTTATTAAAATAGCGATTTTTAATTTCAACATTTTGACGGGGTAAAAAATCTATAATAGCTAAACGTGTTTAACGTAGGATCTATTATTTTATGATAAAGGTGAGTTCAAATTTCACTCTATTCTATTAGGATGGATCTCGGACAAGATTCGCTTCAAATTTGCGTAACTGCGGTCCCGATAACATTCCCTTAAAAAAATAGAGTAGTGATATACTATGGTTCGTTCGGGAACATGCCAGATAAATTTTAGATTTTTGGTTAATTTTTTTAAAGAATAAAAGAATATTTAAGAGAAACTGTTTACACCGTAACGCCGTTTAAACTAACCTAAACTAATCAAAATTATTCGGTTTCATATATATTTTTAATATCGAAAACTAGTATTACTGCAACCACATGTAAGGACTATTCACAAACATCTCAATCACACGACGCTAAAAGGTTTGACGAATATGATTTAGATTATTAGTAAATGGAGTAAAACAGATGAGAGGCCAGTTCCGAAGCCAGAGGCGGAAAATTCCTAGTCGCAAGTTTCTCGTTTTGTACCTTTATCGCGACAAGAACGCAAACAATAGAACAACCACAACGAAACTTATAAAGTTAAACATTGTCTGTTCGCATACAACAAACTAAATACAATGGTGATGCTGACCAAATAAAATACGTCACGTATTATACAGTAAGTAACTTATGTGTTGCTTCCAAATTCCTAAGTTTTTAATTTTTCATATCTACTCCTTTTGCAATAGAAAAGTGTAGCAACATGTAGCATGTGATATTTTTTTTAATATTGCAGAAAATTAAGATTAAGACTGCGAATTTCTTTCAACGACTATGCCATTTTGCAAATTGCAAATTTTTATATTGTCATAGATTCAACAAATACGAATCAATTCAGTTTCAATATGCCATGTAAAATTTGAACAGTATGTTATGCATGTACGAATTGGATCCGATCCTATGTATAACGAGCAGAACAATCTCCCATGCAGTATCTTCTTCTTTAGACCACATTTTAGGATCTATCTTTGTCTCTTGCGGTGTTCATGAGCTCTCCTAGGGTCTTCAAATCCGCTTTCTACCCATTCCCCTCCTGCCTTCTATCTTTACCCTGGGGCATGGACCCAAACAATTCTCTCTCTTTCTGCATGCTATTGAGTACTTCTTCATTGGTTACTCTAATGGTCCAGGGTATTTTTAAGAGACGTCTGTATGTCCACATTTCAAAGGCTTTTCTATTCTATTCATACTGCTGGTATTTATGATGCACACTTCTATGCCTTAGAGCAAGACAGACCCCCCATAGCATTTTGCGTAGCGCAAATGCAGCTGGATATCTCTGCAGCTCAGTACGTGTCTAAACTTAATAAAATGTTGCACGTGCTTTTTCTACTCTTGTTCTAATTTCCCTTTCAGGGTTCCAGTCTGAATGCAGCCAACATCCAAGATATTGATATTTTTCGAACCGTTCTAGGATTTGGTTTTCTATGCTGTTGTTGCGCTAGCATATATTTGTTTGTCTCAGCTAATGATTATGAATTTAGTTTTCTTGGAATTGATGATCAGGCCATATCGCTTGCCGTCTCTAACGATCTTGGAAATCGGAAGTGTAATTTGTCGAAAGCCGCGGAGAATTCCGCAATCCTTTAAATACAGCTTCTCTATAGGTTAGTTACAACGCGTTACAAAATAAATTATACATCGATCAAATCATTAAGTTTAAATCATATTTAATTATTGAAACAATCAAAATGTATGGTTTTATGAAAAACCATCTCCAACGTATTTACGGAGATTGCTCCTTAAGGACACTTAATTCTGAAATTCATACTATTGATATAAATACCTCGTTGATGTGCTTGTACGTCTTGATCAAGTCCACGCTCAACTTCCTCAGGGGTGCCGAAGAGGGGTCCCGAAACGTCAAAGGTATCCGCGCTTGCATCGCATGAATGTCAGTTGACGAGGGGGGGTTGCCGCTACAAGACAGGGGCGGCATAGTGCCGCCCATCTGCTCGTCGGACACAAGCCGTCCGTACAAAGGCACGTGCCTTCTTTGCTGCTGCTGAGCGACCACATCGCCGCCACTGGATGCTGAGACAGGCACTGAAAATGGCAACATTTCTTTCGTTACGCTAATCGCAAAAAAAGTTTAATTTAAATTGTTGAAAGTTGCCTGAATCTCAAGCAATAGTTTAGATATTATATCGAAGTACCTATAGGAACTGTATCCCAAATACGAAACCTTGCAGCCGCCAATAGATATATAATTAATACTCCTACCAGGCTGGGTAGAGAGAGAAATCCCTCGCGAAGAAAGGAAAAAAGAAAACAAATGTTAAAGCAACACAGGCTTATTTGAGTAACCGTCTACATCAGAACTAATATTTTCAAGTATTTTCTACGTAGAAAGCCCGATTTTCAGTTAATTTTTTATAGGTTTATCGGTTAATATGCGTGCGCCCATTCATTTAAAAATTCGTTCCAAAAAATTGTTAAAATTAGGAATATCAACCCAATATTTTGGATACACTTGGAATGAAATAATTAGATTGACGATATAAAAAAATTATATATTTCCCATAAAATGAAGCTTTAGTACATATTTTTAGTTGTTGTGCATAAACTGAATATTTTCTATTTTTCGAGCATAAAATCGCATATTTTTGACCCTGTCATTGGTTAGATTAAAAATGAAATGAAATCTATCTGTAATTTTGTGGACTTTCTATTTATAGCCTTCAAATCCGGTTACCTAAGGATGTTCCTTTACCTCCTGAACCTGTAAGTACCTGATGGGGAACGTGGTCAGACGCAGCCTTATTTCACGCGAATCACTTTAGTCAAATAAAAAACATTGTATTAGACTATTCAGATTCAGCTGATTCAATTAAAAAAACTAAAAATTTATATGAAAAATGCGAACTTATAGATAAATTGATATATATCAAAGCTAATTTCAGTTTTTTTAATTAGACTCCGAACAAATGCCTTTGCTAGAGTCAATTTCAATAGTAGAAGAGTGCGAAACATTTGTTGAAAAAAGTTCCAAACAGAATAGGCAAAATTATTCTTGATAAATTTAATAGTGTAACAACAAAAAATGGAGGGCTTCAAAAGTTACATAAAATTTCAAAAATTTTATCATTAGATGCAACGGTTGATAATGATTCACATTATTTGGAACCATTGCATCATTAAAATTCGCGCATATATATATATATATATATATATATATATATATATATATATATATATATATATATATATATATATTTGTCTAAAAACTGTAAATATAATGTAATTTTTTTCGTCGTTTGACTATTCGTTCCTTGAATTTCAGTAAAAATGTAAATATGTATAATATATATAATGTATACATGTATAAATATGTAAAAAATAAAGGGCATAAAAGTCCATATATGGTAGAAAAAAGCATATATTTGAAATATTTTTTGAAAAAACCGGATAAATGCATAAATGTCCAAACTCTAGTTATAATGCACAGATAAGTTTGTTTGATAGTAAAATAACCAAAATTTATTCTGTATTACCAGCTCGATATTCGGAAAGCTGTTAAGCAAAGCAATCAAAGTTAAATAAATTTTAGTTTTCCTATTTGTGAAGATATTAAAAAGCAAGTGTATGATTTACACATACATTTTCGCCAAACATAAACAGAAGTTAGGAGCTCTGTTTGATAGTAAAATAACCAAAATTTATTCTGTATTACCAGCTCGATATTAGGAAAGCTGTTAAGCAAAGCAATCAAAGTTAAATAAATTTTAGTTTTCCTATTTGTGAAGATATTAAAAAGCAAGTGTATGATTTACACATACATTTTCGCCAAACATAAACAGAAGTTAGGAGCTCTACCTTCCAGGAAAGTAGTAAAAATTGGTAGGCATTTGAAGGCATTTTAGATTTACATTCCACGAGTTATAATGATTAGAACCAAAAAACGTATATATGTATACGGAACAGAAATTGGAGGGACTTCAGACACCATAGCTGGTTTCCAATCTACTTTTAAAAGTAAGATACAATCAATAAAATCGAGTAATTACCTACTTAAATTTAATTGCAGACAAAGCACACTAATAAATAAATGACGAATGAGAAATATTATTTCAATATATCCATATATTATTGTTTGTTACATATATTTAGATGGACAATCAACATGGATTGTAGAACTGTGAAATTCCAAAAATGAAGCAACTTAATTTAAAAAAAACTGCAGGATGCTAAGCATTTATTGCATAAAAAGTTTAAAAGGCAAAAAAAAGAACTTACTTTCTGATCAGGCTGAAGAACAAATGCTGGTGAGTACTGGTAGTAGTATTTTTTATTATGAATATTGTCTATAGTTTTAATTTGAATTTTGTTTTGTTAGTTTTGTTAATTATGATCAACATTTTAATTAAAAATCGAAATTAACACGTGTATTTCATTTTACCAGACCAATTTACTATTAACATTTTTATTAATTAAAACTAGGTAATTACATTAACTAAATGATATATCAACATTTTATATAATTTTTTTCATAATATTGATAAAATACAAAAATAAATTGCCCACAAATAACTATTTGAGAAATAGGGTATTAAGATCCATGTATTTAAAAATTGTATAAAATATTATATAATTAGTAAAATATTCTGACTGAAGGCAGCGCACGACTTTTATATTGACCCCCGTAACTATCTAACGACGACCTTGTATATAACGGACACTTGCACATGTGCAATAATCTATCTCGTGAATGACTGCTATCTATATACCAGCCTTCTAGGGGCATTAATTCTATGGACAACATAACACCGCGCTATCCCTCATCAGATCTATAAAGGATATTTCAGTTTCTTAACTTTTCGCCTTCCAATTGAGGAGGTTTTCATAATTTTCTGCGGATGGGGCCTTTCAAACAAAAGTAAGCCATTATGAGAATAAAACATCAAAATTTTTCCCGAACCAACTACTGCGGACAGGTTAAACGAGTTGAATCTTTTTGAATAATTGCAGAAATTGGAAAAATATTATATGATATATAATTTTTAACTTGCAAACGGTCTGAAATTGAACTTTTACTTTTTGATTTAGATTTTCCACATGGCAGTTTGAAGGTTTTTGGTAAAAAATTACTGCTTTAACACAATGTCAAGGAGTATTTTTAATCATGCAGTGGATTTGAAATTCTCATTTTGACTAACTGTCATTTTACCGATCATGTCGGTATGATTCTTTATCGAATTGAAAACTAATAAAACTAAATTTATTTATTTATTATTTAAACTCCTTTGTGTATGTCAGGTTAGATTTGGTTAGTTGCTAGAAAATTCATTAAATGCGCTTTTCCGAAAATTCGGACACGAACGGATAGCTTTGGCACAGATTTACCAAAAATAACTGCCATTTGGATGCGACCTTTATTATTAACTCCCTGGCTAGATATTGGTGACACACCTACGCATTCGTATTTACGGACAAGCAAATAGTTCCCGGTTTAGGGCACGGAAATGGGAAAATCGAGACTTATCTTTTTCGAGAATTTATTCGCGCCCCAAACATTTGGGGTTTTGCAGTGATGTGCATGTCCGTTGATACACCGCCTGCGTCTTCGAAGGGTCTCGGACTTTGCAAGTTTAAATTTCCCAGTGCTGGATAAGAAAGTTTCGAAACTGAAACTTGCAATAACGGTTGCAGGCCTTGCTCAGTCCGCGGCGTTATTGAATATGAGGAACTTGGAAAATGTGCTTTTGTGGACGATAAATTGAACTATTTGCTTGGATTCTTAGGTTATTAGTTTGTTGGGAGAAATTAAATAACTTCTTCGTCGAGAAACTACTGCCAATCGCTGTACGCTTTTCAGAAAACCTTAAGGAAAATTATGCATTAAGCAACCCAATTTTGCATTATTTGCATGTTTTTAAAATCTCGTTTTGTCAATGATTATTCTCAATTTATATATATAGGACTCGAATTTTTTATGTTCGTGTAGATTGTAACGTATCTAATATGACTCAAAATATTTAAAATCGAAAAATATACGAAAATTATAAAATTCTTAGAGTAAAAAACAGGAAAAGTTTTTTTTTAATATCAGTGGATTTTCGGTTCCGTTTTACGGACAGTCATCCGAACGATTTAAAAACATAACAATATCTTTTTACAAAACTTCTGGATTCCTCCTGCGTTGGTTTTTGCTGAGTCGAACTTGCTAACGTTTCGCCAATCATCCTGTTGGCTTCTTCAGAGCTTGACTGAAACTGATTATACGTTGCTAGAAGAATTGATCACATGCAAGAATTTTACTTTTATTGAATAAAATTTTATGTCCGGTTTCGTGATTGTGTTCGGCAACTGCTGATGAGTTGATTTGTCTTAGTCTTAAGGCTAAGGCTAAGTTAAGGCTGTTCTTTGAGCCTAGTTGATATTTTTCGTCCGATCTCTCCAATGTATTCTTTGTCGCATAGGCATGGAATGCTGTAAACTAAATCTCAAATGGAATTTTGTCTCGAAGATGATAAGAGATTTTTGGACAAGTGGTAAATCTGGTTTTGACGTGTATTCTGTGATGAAACGCTTAATATCTTTAATGTGGAAATTATTAAAAAGAGCAGAGGTAAGGTATTTTAATTCTGGATTCAGTGACTCGGGCTGAGATAGTTTTTCAGCTCTGTAAACAAGAGAGTTGATAACCGATGATTTTTGGGTCGGATGGTGACGTGACGTGACGTGACGTGACATTAAGGTAACCGTCTGTGTGCGTAGTTTCAAGTAGGTGCAAGACTCAGTAAAAACCGACGCAGTAGGAATCCAAAGGTTTCGTAAAAATTATTACAGTAGCTTGTGAAAGTTTCTTTGAAAAAGATAAACCCTCATGAAGAAAATAAATACATCATAATAAAATTTTGTGCTCTGGTCGAAAAATTTCAGCGCCGTTTCATTCATTATATAGTTTTTAAGTTGGGTGTCGACTTGAATAACAACTGAAAACTCATTAGATTTGAAAACGCTTAAAGCTGGTCGTGGCGAAAATTGGGTTTTTGGGCACCAACACGAGTAACTCTTCTAAATAGCACATTTTTTCTGCGGTACCA